AGCAGCGACGCTCGGGGAAGCCTGCGCCCCGCCTGCGCCTCCGAGGCGCGCCCTAGAAGCCGGAGCGGCCGCGCGGCGCCGCCCCAGGCCACCGGCGAGCGCTGGGCACCGCGAGCCCGGAGCCGGCCGGCCTCTGAGAGCCCGGGAGGCGGTGGGAGCGCGGCCGGAGGAGGCGGCGGAGAGAGCCCGGGCCTGGGGAGGGCGCCGGGCGCGAGCATCCTGCGCCGCGGCATCCGAGGCTGCTTGGCGGGAGACAAAGCCTCTGGGAGACGCGCTATGCCCGCCGCGCGCAGCCCCGGCCCGCGAGGGCGGGGAGCCCGCGGCGTCTGAGCGCGCCGAGCCGTGCGCCCCGGGGACGCCGCGGCCCGGGCGGTGCGGGCGGGGCCCAGGTGCGCCCGGCCGCGTCGGGCCCGTGACTGCTGGGGGGCGGCGCCCTCCCGCCGCAGCCGCAGTGGCCGGCGCCGCAGCGAGGAGCCATGGGCAACATCTCTTCCAACATCTCGGCCTTCCAGTCCCTGCACATCGTCATGCTGGGCTTGGACTCGGCCGGCAAGACCACGGTGCTCTACCGGCTCAAGTTCAACGAATTCGTGAACACGGTGCCCACCATCGGCTTCAACACCGAGAAGATCAAGCTGAGCAACGGCACGGCCAAGGGCATCAGCTGCCACTTCTGGGACGTGGGCGGCCAGGAGAAGCTGCGGCCGCTGTGGAAGTCCTACAGCCGCTGCACCGACGGCATCATCTACGTGGTGGACTCGGTGGACGTGGACCGGCTGGAGGAGGCCAAAACGGAGCTGCACAAGGTGACCAAGTTCGCCGAGAACCAGGGCACGCCGCTGCTGGTCATCGCCAACAAGCAGGACCTGCCCAAGTCTCTGCCAGTGGCCGAGATCGAGAAGCAGCTGGCGCTGCACGAGCTGATCCCGGCCACCACCTACCACGTCCAGCCGGCATGCGCCATCATTGGCGAGGGCCTCACCGAGGGCATGGACAAGCTCTATGAGATGATCCTGAAACGCAGGAAGTCCCTGAAGCAGAAGAAGAAGCGGTAATGCGCCCGGGAGCGAGGGGAGGGAGCGGGCGAGTGAGCCGAGAATGAATGAATGGAAGGATGGATGGATGGATGGACGCGCGAGAGACCCGCGCCGGCGAACAAAGACAGCGAACCAAAGCGATGCTTCGAATTTTTAAAACCGAATCTCCGCACCCAAATGCGGGACTGGTGACTTAACCCGGGTGTGAAGGCTGGTTTACCAGCCTGCTCTCGACCTGCCCCCACCCCCAGCTCAGGGGACCTTTTGTCTGAACGCAGAAGCTGAGGATGGTGTGGGGCCGTGGCCGCGATGGGAGTGCAAGTGCGGGTCGGGCTCTCTGTCCTCCCGGCCCCAGGTGTAAGGCTCAGATGTCTCAGAGACAAAAGCGATTTCTTCCTGCTCCTGCAGGGCCAGAAGTTCCGACTGCCCCACCCCCGCGGGGGGATTGCACCTGTGAATTCCTGAGGTATGCATTCCCGGAACCCTGAGTGCACCCACCTGGAGGGGGGCTTGCTGGCGGTGGGGGTTCCGGGGAGAACACCTCTTCTTGCTTTGTGGGGCTGTGGAAGCTGAATAATTTTATGTCACAGGGCAGGCCCCTGTTGAAATTTCATTTGTTCTGCTCTGGGCCCAAATGCGGTGGTGCTTTGGGCCATCAGAGGACTGCCGGGGACAATGCAGCAGCCAGGGGGCACCGGGCGCTGCGCTGGCCTTGGCTGGGAATGGCCTCGAAGATGCCCCTTTTCCTGGTGCTTTGTGGTGGCTACAGAAGACCAGTTTTGTTGAGAACTGCTTCCAGCCTGGAATCCGACATCTTCCAGATGGTTTGGACCTTGTCCATGTGTAGGTCATGATCACACAAAGAGACCAATAAAAATTAAAACAACAAAAAACTAATGGAGGTGGTGACAAATGATACATTTACTGTCTGCAGGGTAGTTAAAGGTGTTTAAAGGGTAAGGCTCTTGGCGTAAATTCTGGATGGAATGTGTGTGTGCCTGTGTGGATGCAGGGACCTCCCTGTGTACTGTGTAATCAGCGTAAATACCTAGACCCATATGTGTGGAATTTTAAATTCTCTTAGCCTATTGATTGGGTTAGATGAGCACACCAGCTGCAGATGTGTGCTGAATTGCAAGATGGTTGTTTTTTTGGTTTTTTGGGTTTTTTTGCAAGAGGTGTCTCTTGCAATGCTCACCGCCTGATGATGGGTTTTCAGACATGTTTAAGGAAAAAAAAAAACCTTGACAAATGAATACTCATCTTAGAAAATACTCACCTTAGGAAAAAAGACTTTGCTCTGCCCTTTCTATCCCTTTATGGCAAGTGGTGACATGTTCCGAATTCTAATTTGGTTCCTTGTGGCCTATCTGGTTTAAGTATTTCATTAAAAATGTCTCCTTAGAGTATTTGATGTCACGCACCAAAAAATAAAACCCCACCTTGTTGCAAAAGCCGACCTCGTTGCATGGATTTAAAAGGGAAGGGAAAACACAAGGATGAAGGCCTTCGGAATTCATTCTTGTGGGAACTGGCCTTCCTAGCCAGCCAGCACTTTGGACAAATGCAAAGAGCAGTGAGTGCTTGAGATAAAGGAAAGCGTGTGACGTAATGGTCACTGGAACTCAGGCACTTTACAGTTTACTCGAAAGAGGCTTTGGAAAATAGATAAAGTGAAAGAAGAATAAATACATATTTTTAATAATGTAATTTAAAAAATCCTTTATAATCAGGACTGAGTCTTGGTTTGCAGAAGCTGTCCTTTACACCGCAACACAGTATCAAAAAGGAAACTTAAAACTTACTGTTTGATTTTTGTTTTTCCTTTTAGAATCCATGTTTTCAGGTAGAATTATGATTTCCCCCTGCTGTCACACATTTCTTTACAAAGGAGACCCATAGGGATTGGACACAATCATGCTTGAGCATGTGTCCAATCTAGTCAAAATATAGGTCTATACCTATTGTCCATTACACTATGAAATTAAATTTAAGAACCAGAGGCAGAAATCCTGGCTTCCTGCTTGAAACCCAGTTCTTGTATGAAATCTTGTGAAAGGAGAAACCTAGCAGCCCATCTACTTTTTCTCTTTTGTTAGTAGATTTGGTACCCCTCCAATGCTGGTCTTTTTGTAGAAACTCCGTAGAGAAAGTATAGCTAGAGATGTTGAAAGCCTGCAAGATTTCAGTTTACATATCGACAGCCTATTCACTGATTTCTAAATGGGCTGGTCCCATCATCTGAAGATTCTGTATAGAATTATTAAAAACAAATCCATCTTTCTTTATTTTCTTCACATGCAACAATTTCTTAAGCACTTTGACATTTTGGTAGTTCCACACTATTGAAAGAATAATATATTTATTTTGTGACATTGCAGATGCCAAATACTGTAACCTCCTTGTGCTGACAATACTTAGGTTCAAGATCACTGTTCAAATCCTGTCATGCTTTAAAAACGATGCAAGATGATTTTGTTTTTTTTTGCATTATCAATACTTAAGGGTGCAATCAACTGTTAGTAATTGTGCGGTAAAGTAAAGCCCTGTGGTGTATCAACTACTAGTTAAGAGTCTCAGTTGAGTTCTGTAATGTTTGACCTGATACTAGCCCGTTTTGTCTCTGACCCAACAGAGGAAGCACAGATTAAATCACCCTGGAGTAGTAAGGGGGAGGGCGTGCCCCCAGGGTCCATCCGTGATGTATTATGCCTTCTGCCCTTTGGAGAATGAATGGGTTTCACATCAAGGAAGCTGGCCTCCCCAAGGTAGCTTGTGAAATGTTTTCTAATGGACACAGGGAGGCCAATTTTGTTTCAGAACAATTTTCTTCACCAATTCTCTGTTACGCTGTTGGGACTGTGTCCCCTGGTTTCAGGTTTCCTTTCTACTGCTGTAATTCTCTGTCTCGATCGTCCTCCTCTTTTGTTTCCATAGCCTTTTATAATGCATATACGATGCTGTGAACAGAAATAAATTATTTATACAATCAAATGATTGGGGAGATTTTTTGTGGATGGCTTTTCACGCTGGTCATGTTCATTCTCTCGGCCTCAGTGAGGGGATCCATCACAAGATGGTGTCCGGGGTTCTCAGGGGTCCTGAAGCTGAATCACTCACCTCTGCTTTTTGGTGTCTAGGAGTACCCTGAGTGAATTTAGAGGCTCAAATGCAAAGTCTGGGTGCACCTGGGGCTCATCCAGGAGCCGGCCCCCCCACAGGGTCCTGTCCATTGGGTCATCTCAAATCCTTCAGGAAAATCGCCTCAATGTCTCACCTTTCCTCAGCAAAAAGATCATGAACTGTTACTTGTTTCCAAAGTGTTGAATAATTACATAAAATTGGAAATAGCTAGGTACTAATATAACAGCAGTAAAAATTACCAAGGTGCTTGGTGTCCTGGCTATGTCTCTCTACTCCATGTCTGGCTATATCCATTGCCTTTGAAGCCATCAAAAGTACTCCAAGACTCGGGTTCTCTTAAATAGTGTGCTAAGGCCATCACACTCTGCTGTGGAGAAAAGGTCCACGCTCTAAAGGCAAAAATGAGTGGGCCAGAACCAAGGGCGCTATCAGCAGGGCAGCACCTCAGGGCACTGGGGAGATGGTCCACAACCAATGGCACTGTCCACAGGGCAGCACCTCAGGGCACTGGGGAGATGGTGAGCAACCCGCTTGGCTGTCACTGCGTGGATGTTGAGACCCAGGTGGGGGCTCTTAACACTGGTGGTCAAAAGAGCCAGTTCCAAATTCTGGCTTCAGTGCTTTGGGGCCTGTGATTTTGCTCAGGTTCCTGGGCCTCTAAGCCTCCGCTTCCCCATATGTAAAATGGGACCTTAATGGTCCTTCAGAGGGTTGTTGGGAGGGTGGAGTGTGATAATCCAGCTGAAGAGCTTGGCCCAGGTCCTGTGAACAAGTGCTCAGCAGGCTGTGTTGTTATTGGCTGCTGGTGACATGCAGGGTCATTTAACCTTCCAGTAGCCTTTAGGTTCTGGTCCCTTTTACCCACACCTTTTCCTGTCCCCATCCTGCTGAAGGGCTGCTGACTGCAGGCTCAGATCAGAATGGAGTCCACACATCCAGAGCTGTGAGAAGCCGAATTATGTGGCAAACTCGGGTGTACAGACTCCGAAATCCATTACTCTTCATACACCCCACAACACTGGGCTGAGCCCCTTTAGAAGGAAAATAGACCTTCAATTGCTGATACCTAGCAGGTTGAGTATTCAGTAGGTGCTCAGTGGGCAATGGCTGAATGACATAATTCATGTCAAAATAGGCATTATGTGAAGTAGATGATTATTTCCATTTAAATATTTAATTGAAAACAGACAAAATAGTATCACTCCTCCACATCACTGTGGTGCATTAAATGATCGTTCCGACCAGTAGAAGCATGATAAAAGCTGGTAATCGTGTTTGTGAACCTAGAGGTTTTTCTTAAAAACTGAGCAAGGCCTGACTTTATTCTTATTTGTGTTGTTGCATTAGCTGATGATTAGGATTGAGATTACACTGAAAGGGCACAGATGCAGTTTCTAAGCACTCAAACCTAAAAAGTGGTTGGAAACCATTAAGGGACTATTTTGGCTCCATGAGTGAAAATAGTGAAAGGAACCCTCTAGCCAGGCTGGTTGGAGTGCTAAGCCAACTGCCCTATTTTCCCCAATTTGAATTTTTCCTTCAAGGTTTTTTTGTTTTTTGTTTTTTTTTTTTGAGACAGAGCCTCAAGCTGTCCCCCTGGGTAGAGTGCCGTGGCATTACAGCTCACAGCAACCTCCAACTCCTGGGCTCAAGCGAGTCTCCTGCCTCCGCCTCCCAAGTAGCTGGGACCACAGGCGCCCACCACAATGCCCAGCTATTTTTTGGTTGCAGCCATCATTGTTGTTTGGCGGGTCCGGGCTGGGGATTCGAACCCGCCACCTTAGGTGTACGTGGCTGGCGCCTTAGCCAGTTGAGCTATAGGCGCTGAGCCTCCTTCAAGGTTTTGATTCTTGTAAGTTTTTCGGTAGACCATGGACGGTCTTGCCTTACTGTTCCGGGCTGTTGCTCTGTGTGCAGAGCGTGGACTGTTGAAGCAGCCCTGTCACTGACATTATGGACTGTTTTGATGTCATGATCATACGGTAGCAGGGGAGGACCAAACTCCACACAAGGAGCAGGACACAGTAGGTCTGATCTGAGGACAAACATAAGAGGAGAACAGACAGAATTTGACAGTCCTTGATTGGTCAGCTCTTTCCCTGCCCAGCTCCATAACCTCTCTCTTCCTCCTTTGGGTCCTGATGCAAGGCTGACGTCTACAAGTTGGCATTTGCCTGCCAGAAAGAAGTCCGCCATCTCAGCTGATCCGCTGCCATTTCTGTCCCCTCCACACTCGGCTGTCTCATACGTGTTCACTTATCCTTAAAACAGCTCTCTCCTTCTGGCTCTCCCCGGCTCAGCGTGTTTAAAATAGAATTTGCACAAGATGTTGGAGCACTGTGTATACTTTTGTTTGGCACCAGTTGGAAATTTAAGAATGGGACTGCATCGGTTTCTGAGAAGAACTTGCAGTTTGAGGATTTCTGAGAAAGTAGCCTCTGGTTCCCACCCACCCACCCCCTCACCCGAGATTCGAAGTGAGAAAGAAAGGGCCCTGTCTTACCTAACTAAGTTTTCAGAAAAGGAAGTGGCTTTCTCTGAATGGCATGACCTTACTGCGACTCCCTGGGCATTAATGGCTTCTGAGGAGAGTGTGGCAGTGAATGCTTTCTACCTGGGGTACAGCAGTGTGACTTGAAAGAAATAACGCAAACAAGTAATTTTGTAGGTTATGTTGATAGCGTGGCTTTGAAGGACACGTTTGCATTTGTTAATTAAACTTACTCTAGCCTGGTAATGTGCACAACGCTGTTTATAGTCCCTGTTAGTCGTGTGTGATCTTGGTCACGGCCGTGCAGACTGCGTGGAGTCTGAGTATGTGCCAGGCACCATGCTAAGTATTTCATAGCACCATCTGGTTTTGTTCTCCAGGGGCCCCAAGAGATCAGTTAATTTTCTCTGCACTTACAGATGAGGAAACCGAGGTTAAGAGAAGATTAGTTGATCTGCAAGCTCAGTTGCTGGTGTGGGTAGAGCCGGTTTAAACCTCAGGTCCACTGGACTCAGAGCCTGGGCTCCAGGAGCGTCCACTCACCACCTGCTCTTGCACTGGGAAAGTTCTGCAGTTCAAGGCATCTGGGGCTTTGAGTAGAGGAAGAAGAGGATGAAGGGTCTGTGGTGACAGCCTGCACCACCACCCTCATGCTGGGGACAGAAGGGCCCTCCTGCCCAAGGGCCCCACATAGCTCCTGGCTCCCCTCCTTCCAGACATGTCCACTTGTCCCGAAAAAGACAATCCCTCTTGTGTCAGAAGCTATCCTTGAATAACTGTTTCTGATAGTCCTTTCAGAAGAGTGTTCCTGTCAGGGACAATGCCTCCCTGCCTCACACAGGGGCACAGCTGTGCCCCAGCGGGGGACGCTGGGGGTACCAGAGCATCTGCATTTAGGACACAGTATTGCATGAGCCACCTCACCCCTCTCGACCTCAGAATCCCAGCCCTGCCTAACCCCTTGGGGTCGTTTTAAAGATAAAATGAAATGGAAGTAGGGGAAGCACCGTGCAACCTGCAAGGCAAGTCCAGATATGTAGGGTCGGGGGTGTGGCCATCCCTCCCTCCCTGGATGGCACGGCCAGCTCACGCTTGCGGAGGGATTCTGCTCATCCAGACAGCCCTGGTGCTCCCTCCACATATTCATGGACAAGGAAACTTCCAACTCAGAGAGAGGAAACTGAAGGAGACTGCAAAGGAAACCATCTCTCCTGGGGAGATCCTGGATGGAGAGACCATTAGTGGGCGTTTCACTAAGTGACTGTCGGGGAATAAGCCTCCTCCTCTCCACTGTCCACAGATTCTCATTCTTCTAATGGCCCCCTCCAATCACGCCCACTTCCTCAAATGCAACTCCCTGTCCTATTCATTTCAACTGCCCAGGTCTTGTAAAAATGACAATAATTCCAGTGTGTAATTTACAGGGCATCAGGTAAGTAATGGCAGTTTTGGTAGACTGTTTCATAAATACATGTTTGAATCCATTATTACATGGATGAAATTTTGCATTGCTGTATAATTTGGAGTGTGCTGGGATGCTGTATTCATCACATAAAAATGCTTCCACAAACAGTATGGGACCCACACTGTACTGGGGACACTGCCTTGTAGGCAGGGGTGTCCTCAGAGGGCTGACACTCCAGGGAGGAACTTGACTCCTGCATGAAACATCCCCAGCTTTAAGGCAAGAGAAAATCGTCAATGCAATCAAATCCACAGTTGCAAGTGACACCAGCCTTGGCATAAAACTAGGAGTAATCTGTGAAAAGATTTTTCCATTGGTTTCTGAGATTTTCTTGGTGGGGTGGTGTTCCCTGGGTAAGGTCCCCTCCCTGCCTGCTTTCCCTGGGTAAGGTCCCCTCCCTGCCCACTTTCCTGCCCTTTCTGTACAGCTGTATGTTTTGGAAGCCAGGACCAGCCTGGTGGCCCAAATGCTGGCCCCAAACACTGCTGGCCCCTCCCATGGCCACCCCATTCTCTATGTCCAGCAGGTACTCTGGCTCCTTAGTGCCCACTCCCTCGTGGAAGGTGTTGAGGAGCCAGGGCCTGCCCAGTGCTGTGCCGTCCCGGAAACGGCTTTCTTGTCTGACCCTGGCTCTTTCTTCTGGAGCCTGTTTTGGAGTCTCAGGTGGCTAGTCCCCTCCACAGAGCCCTTCCCAAGACACGGCTCAGCTGGTTAGACATCCTGAGACAGGTGTGAGTCCTAGTGGGAGCCCAGCGCAGGCTTCTAAACCAGGAGCCCATCAGCCTAAAAGGAGATTGGAGTTAGCCACTTCCTGCAGAAGTTCTGGAAATGACCACTTTCCCCTGAAATACTCGGGGTCTTGATTCCTTTCTTCCTACATCTGTGTGTGTTCGT